AAATAAATAAAAGACTTTAAGAAAGTCTGTTTACTTATACTTTATTACGAGGGAATCGTAATAAATTTTGAAAGAATACTTTAATTAACGCTGAACTCTATTGATGTACATGTAGACCCATTTTTGAAGAGGACCCATCAAATCTTTTGTCAGCAGTCCATCAGAAAACTGCAGTTGTCTAATTTTGCATAACTCTGATTTTCAGGAAGGTCTTTCTTAAAAATGCCCCCTTTGGCGCTGTTATTTAACAGGAACAAAATTTAATATCCCAGCAAATCATTTGTCAACTTAAAATGAAAACTATGTTAATTGCTTTGGTAACTCCACTAACAACTTAGGAAAACACGACTTTGTTTAACGTGCACAACAGTTGTGAATGTTTTGAAACTGTTTTCTCTATCCTCTTAAATAATTCAATATGAAAAGGCTATTGTCAAACTGCCTATTAATATGAGTTTCACCATCGGAGAGTTAAAAGAATAATGTCAACTGCAGGATGGAGCAATTTAAGGTACCTTTGCTATGTTGATTTTAGACAAGGATAGCAGTAACACAGTCAAGTGACACATTCAAATTACAGCAACGCAAACCTTTTAAACTAAAAAAATTTTTTTTATATGTGGAATGATGCTGTATGGCAAGTTGTCATTAGAGTTGGTTTTTTTAACTAGAAGTAAATGTTTGAAGTTATGTCTTGTAATTCCTTGCACGCGATCGACTGTCCAAAATCTTGAAAAACTTTGACACGAAAGTGTTAAAAATACTCACAGTTCAATAAAAGTGTTTTTTTTTATGATCATCATTGGATCGTTTGGTGACAAATTTTGTCACGGAGGAAAGCATATTTTCACTTACTTAACGCGTGTTAGTAAAGCCCAGAAAAAATCCGTATTTAATGAATTTTCGCTGGCCGGATTTTTTTAAACCATAGTCTTTTTGAATAATTGTAATTTAAGTTTTCGAAAATTTAATTCTTATTTTTTTTCATCCACAGTTACTGAACATTACAATATGTATCATCTGTCAGCTATTAAACACCATAGCAGGGATGGAACGTCTGGAGACATTTGTCAAAGGCGAGGCTGGAACACTTATTTTTGATGAAAGTCCTATTGCAGAGAAGAACTCTGATTCATTGCTTGCCTGTTCTCACCGCTGTGTCAGCGATGCACGATGCAAAAGTGCTATTTTTATGGAAGACGAAAGGAAGTGTGCTCTTCTTCAGATTACGAAGAAAAAATCGCAGCTCACACGACAAAAACAGTTTGGCATATTTTACTTGGAGAAGGTAACGTTATTGTTAAGCTTCTTCCATGTCTTAATCAATTGAGTTTTCTGTTTTTATTTTATATCATCAGATCTGAAATAACTGGGGGTAAATTTGGACATAGTACCTAGATAATAAATGATCGTTCCTTAAAACGATTTTTTCCAAATCGCCTGAAAGGATTTTCTTTCCCACAATTCACCTTTTGTCTTTAGCAGCTGGAATTGTGTTCCTATGGTTACGCGATCTGGGGTCAGAAGTACCATAATAATGGATGCTGGCCCCTAATAACGATAAAAGATGTAAAGGCTGATATATTCTTTTCAGCATGTCTTTTTTTTCATCTCTTTCACTCCTCCAAGCTTTCCCGCCCCCAGACGGTCGCCTCCACTTCGGCGTAAATAAAAAGCGTGCCTGGTAAACTTTAGAAAGGAAAGGAAAGCCGAAATGTGTCCCGCAGTTGTTTCTGGAATCGTTACTGGGGACGCGTCGGGCAGCTATTGGTCAATTTTTTCCCTGTCCCTAACAGTCCCAGAAGTCTTCGCGGAAGTTAACTCGGCCCAGTTTTTTCTCGTTTCTGTAGTGGCGTAAACAACACAATCAAATGCTAACATAAGAAGTGCATCAACCAATAGTAAGAAATCAGTATGGGCAGTCGCTATACTTCTGAGTTGATAGTAATGACATCTTATTAAAGTAAAGGGATCATGACATCAGAAAAATGAAGGGTGTTGTTTGACTATCCACAGGTTAATACCGATCTGCCAGGTAAGTCTTCTTTCTATAATTTCTTGTCTGTTACAATTATCTTGAAAAAGTTGAAAAAGTAAGTTCTTGCAAATCAGCGCTGATCATGAATTATCGCAAACGTGGGTTGGCATGAAAATAGTATCTCCTTCTTTCTTGGTGACGTTTTTTTGAGGTTTACAGATTGATGACGTTTATTTTTCTCATGATTTGTCATCACTATTTCGCAAGTAGTTACATAAAATTCATGGAGCAGCAACTCTACCTGGCTATCACGAGGAGCGAATGTAGAAAAAAGGCGACTTCTTGGATTTGCTAATTGATTTAATATACGTTTTTGATCCACCTAACGTTGTTGACAAGGTATCAATGTTCATCTGTTCATGTAGGATCGAAACGGGAGCTGGCTGTCCCCTCGTGCAAATCTCTCTCCCCACCCACCCATCCCAGTGGTGTGTACTGGGTTGATCCAGATGGCCAATCCCAGATCAACGCGTTCAGAGTTTACTGCGAGATGGACACCGATGGAGGGGGCTGGACCTTAGTTTGGAGTTACGCGTTTACTGACTATGTAAATTTTAAGGTGATTCCCTAGTTTTGCACTGCGCATCTCTTACTGCGCATAATAAGATGGCCGCCGTAAAAAAGAGCATGTGAAGTAATATTATTAAAATGAAGTTGACTGAAGAGAAACGCTATTGGAATTTTTGCTTGCTGTTGTTTCTTCCCAGGGTGAGACTCAATGTGTTGGGAATGTGCATAACGTAAGCAGTACGCGTGGTGCTGAGCTAGACCTCCTCTCGGAGAACCTCGATAGTGGATGTTTAACTTGTGCTT